TAAAAAGTATTTTAGCCCGCAATATTACATGTATTCTTACTGCGTAAAATATCACATGATTTACGCATGTTTTAATTAGTTCACGCAGATCAATCACGAAGAAATGCTCTAAAAGCCAAACTACTTGATTTTATGGATCGTACGGGGCTGACAAATGATTTCTCCGAAGAAACAAGTCCATCATCCACTAAGGAGGAAAATAACGACTCTGCAACTTCAAAACTATCCGAACACATAATTCAGGCGGCTGTTACAGGGGCTGTAGCACTTAAACAATCGCCGATTCCAGATGCTATATCAGCGACGGTTAATTACACAATGAAGAAAATTAAGGTCATTGATGAGGCTTATGGAATACAAGATAAAGCATGGGAAATTTCTCGATCTGGTATTAATATGGCATTGGAAATTGATCAGCAATATAATGTACATGGGAAAGTCGTAAATGGTTTTTTCTTAGGACTTACGGCTGCTATGAAAGCTGGAATTGCTTATACAGATTCACCTTCATATCGTGAATTAAAAAAATCGCATGTTGATTATAATACAGCTGAAACTGAGCTGATAAAGAATGTTGATGTTGATTAGTAAAGTCGGTTTTTTTCTACAATAATATATATTTTACTTCTCTTTTATGATCTAATATGTAAATGAATAGAGGACTTTTTACTTCTACTACATAGTATTATTTTATTTTCTTTTTATATTTTCTGCGATATAAAAGTCAAAGGGTATTATAATAATGATAAAAAGAAAAAAAGCAAAAGAAAAAAAAAAAACCTGCATTATTCAACCGCCTTTTTGGGGCAACATGTCAGATATATCCATTCCTTGTAGCATTAACTTAGTCTTCATACATAAGCATTATATATATATATATATATGTCAAATACATCCGATACTTTCAGTAACAGCCTTAGTGTTGAATTACCATCCGATACTTTCAGTAACAGCCTTAGTGTTGAATTACTAATAAAGTTTGGACTGAAATTACTTGTAACAATTCGACTTGACTTCTCCAACTACTAGCCAGAATTCATAAGAGTGGCATCAAAAACTTTTGTACAGGGTCATTTATGGTTCTCATGGCGAATAATTATCGTAAGGCATCTGCATTATTGATAACGGATTGATCCGGTAGCTTACGACGATAGTCTGCAAAATAAATTACAATTATATACTTTCTGTCGAATAATAAATGTCGCGGCTGAAGCTTGAAACGGCTGAAGCTTGAAATTAGGGACCTCGATTTAAAAATATAAATCCTACCAAAATCCATTTGTACATTTTAATTATCAAAACTAACCCTAAATTCTAAGTCAACTATAAAAAAAAAGCTAAAAAGATGCACCCCAAAATTCTTTGAAAATTTCATATCAAAGTATTTAAAATTTCATGCTTCAGCCGCGACATTTTTTTTTTTGTAGCCCCGTAATATTAGATGTATGGTCACCGATTTTTAGTATGCATAGAAAACTGAAAATACATCTCCCAAAATCCAAATGCAATACAATCATACCTGAATAATATCACCCTTTTTTTCTCTAATTTTTGAAGATATACCTAAGGTGTAATATAGTTTAATGTATAAAATATACAAAAAAAGAGAAATTTATTCCGCTCAAATATGAGGATATAACTAAGGTAGGGCATAACAGTGGGATATAACCCAAGCACGACTGTATTCAAGATGGTACTTTTTTTTTCAATAACAAGCTCTTCTAAAATCGACGATAAGTAGATTTTTAGTTCTTGGTCATACTCTGCTTGCATTTTGAGTAAAACATAATATAATTTTTCATACTGGTTATCAGATATCGAATCACAAATCCATGGCGCAATTGTAAATTGGGCATAATCGTTTTGATTCATATTCAGTGCAATAAAACTTGTAACTGTATGATAGATAACTGTATTATGCCCACGATCAAGATAATTAAATTGACCACGTTGTTCATTGTCGAAGGCTAAAAACAAAAGTCCTTTAGGTAAGGGTTCATTTTCGACTGCTAATG